CAACAGGATTTATGTCTGCTGGCAGGAAGAAATAAATAAAACAATACCTCTGTCTTAGCCCCTCCATGAACATCTTTGTTTGCAACCCCAGGTCTGTAATCTTCCTAGCATGGCTGAATTTTGAAATTCAGCACACTCCTTTAAATCACTCATCATTTCTGTCTGCAGCATGTTGTGCTAATTCTGACTAGGGACCAGCAGGGCTGGCTGTGGAGATGAGCTGGCCTAGGGAATCTGGGCTGCTATCTTACCTGCATTGTGTAACTCACAAAATTATTTAATTAGAGCCTGAAAAGTGAAATTGAAAGAGCAAATTCAAGCATTCTTGTTGGCCCAGATTCATAGAATCAAGGAGTGGTTTGGGTCAGAAAGGACTTTAAAGCTCATCCTGTCCCACCCCTTGCCATGGGCACCTTCCACTATCCCTGGTTTCTCCAAGCCCCATCCAACCTGGCCTTGGAGACTTCCAGGGATGGGATGTGCATCATCTGGCATCACAGCACCCGTGTATCCCACCTTCCTCTCCTGGCCCTGCTGGGGCACTGGAGGGATGGAGCACATGTTCTGGGAAGTTTTGGTGGCTGCCCTGCCCAGTGCCACAAGCCAGGGCAGCAGGGGCTGCTCCTGCCCCCACAGGTGCCTCTGTGCTGCCTATGCCCACAGTTCCTCACCTCGGTGTCTTAGGACAAAAGGGAGGAGATGGGTGCAAGCCTCGCTTGAGGTGCTTGTTTTAGAAGGACAAGCTGATAAAAATTATTTCATTAAGGGACCTAAACTGTGCTTCCTCAGGCCTGAGTCATCAGTGAAGTGAGCAAGCGAGGAGCAGCAGTGGGTCCCACTGGAGGATGACTCACGCTGCAGCGTGGGGCTCACAGGACTCAGAGCTGGGTGATGCTCCTCTCCCTCTGTCTCAGCATGGCTGGGGGCTCCCAGCACCCTGAGCAGCAGCAGGAGGTGTCTGGGAGTCTGTGAGGCTCCCAGATTGTTCTGGGAGCTGAGCCACACTGTAGTTGCACCTCTCTGCCATCCCCAGCTCTGCCAGGATGCACAGGAGCCACAAGCAGTCACTCCTCCAGAAGTCTGGAGACCATCCAGGAGCAGAGCATGCACACAGGCTGGCATTTGAGCTTTTATTCTTTATTTGCATTGATAGAAGCCAGCACGTCCCCTCTCAGTCCAGGAGGAATTGATCTTTCCTCCCAGAAGGCACAGGAAAACACCAGGCCACCTTCATCCCCTCTGCCTCTTTCAGTTCCCAGGCTTCAGGAACAGGCAGGAAAAAAAAAGCCAGTCCCAGTTCCCAGTAAGGTCAGGACCTGTCCCCTCTACACTGGTTTGTTTAGTGAGTGCTGTAAAACCTGCTCTGTCTGTCCCACTTGGAGGTGTTGACACTCTGCTCAAGCCCAGTGACAGGACACTTTTCCTAAGGTCCAGGATATGTGTTCCCTTTGCCTGACCCTGCTTCCCTACATCCCACCCTTCCCTTGGCCACTTTCCCTTATCTTCCCCTCTTGTGGGTGTGGCTGAGACTGTGGTACCTGGTGGGACCGAGGTGGCACTGGTGGCACTGTCCCAGTCCTGCTGCTGTCCCTTTGTGTGTGACAGTACAGCAGGCAGTGCCCATGGCCAGTCCTGCCCATAGCCTCCCCCATTTCCTGTGTGATCCCTCATTAACCTCTTCATTAACCAATCCCCCCATGAGGAGGATCTTCCCAGGCAGGGCTCTGAGCTCTCTCAGTGCTCCAGTTCCCACCAGGATGTTGTGATGTCCCTGCTCTTGGAAAGGCCTCCAGCAAGCTCTGCTCCATTCACTGATGGTTACTGTGCTTTCCTGGACACTCTCCCAGAGCCCTCTGCATCCATGGCCACCTTGATTTTGTGCTTGCTTAGTAGAGAGAAATGCAGCATGGTGGGATTGACCTGTGCAACTCCATCTGCCTATTGGGCATGGTCCTGTTCTCTTCTGGAAAGAGAGTGAGGAGGCAAAGGGCTGTGCCTGAGCAATATGGGGAAAGTGGGACACAAAGTGGGAAGAAATGGCTTGAGGGCAGACTTTGGGGTGGTGGTACAGCCACCAGCTGATTCAAAGCTCCTGGACTTCCTCGGGGACCAATTCCTTGGACATGTTGCTGAAATTCTGCTTTTCCTCCTTATTTGCTATTTTCTTCATAAGCATTAAAATTAGTAATTTTGGCTCATAATTGCTGTAATCACTGCCCAGTTTATTGATGAGGTTTTTTTAATCTTTTCACATAGTTCCTTATTGTTTTATCTCAGATATCTAAAATCTTAGTTTTCCACTGGCTATGGCATTGATGGGAGCTTTTTCCGTGGACCTCCACTGTGGCTGGGTGGAGGGTCTGGCTATGTGAGGTGCAGGTTATCCAGATGTTGTTTCAATGGCATTGAGAACACTGTTTGCGGGTGATTTTTCCTTAAGTATCAGCAGTTCTCCATGATCCCTACTAGCACAGAGAGCAGAAGGAACTGAATTTGTTGTGGCTCATGAACTTAATTGAAACCAATCCATCCTCCCTTGATACTTTGGGTTTTGGGTGCAAGTTTAAGGAAGTAAGGAAATATCATATGGGAATGCTGTGCTGGAAGGGGTGGAGCTGTTCCTGGGTGTGCTCTGGGCTTTCAGGACAGCTCCCATCACTCAGGTGCCATCACTCATCCTGAGCAGTTACTGCTGTCCTCATTTTTCTGCTACCTCAGGAATGCATGGAGTGATTTGGGAGATCTGGGGATCTCCTGGAGATCTCTCAGCCCAACTCCCTGCTCAGTGCAGGATCACTTACCCTGGATTATCCTGGACACCCAGGACCATGTCCAGTGGGTCTTGGATGTCTCCAAGGATGGAGAATCCACCACCTATTTGGGCAGGTTGTGCCACTGTTGGATCAGCCCAATTTGTTGTCTGGCCATTGATTCGTGGGGCTTTGCTGCAGCTCCTTGCTGCTGTGGGGTCAGAGGAGCAGCAGGGACAGCCGGGGGCTGTCCCCATCTCCACCCAGCGGAGCTGCTCCGAACTCTTGCATGTTGACAGTCAGCAACAGGGCAGGTGACATCTTAGAAACACAGAACCAGAAAATCTCCTGAGTTGGGAGGGACCCACAAGGATCATCCAGTCCAACTCCTGGCCCTGCCCAGGACACCCCAACAGTCCCACCCTGTGCACCTCTGAGATCACTGTTCAAACACTCCTGGAGCTCTGGCAGCCTCGGGGCTGTGCCCATTCCCTGGGGAGCCTGGGCAGTGCCCAGCACCCTCTGGGGGAAGAGCCTTTCCTGATATCCAACCTAAACCTCCCCTGACACAGCTTCAGCCCTTCCCAGTGATCTTCTCACCCCAAATGGAAGCTGCTCCTTGTGTGCTCCCGGCTCTACCCGCAGGCCTCTGTGTGCCCTGGGCTGAGCACCAGGATGTCACACACAGACTGTCACACCCTGTGTGCCCTGGGCTGAGCACCAGGATGTCACACACAGACTGTTGTACCCTGTGCCCTGGGGTGGCTGCAGCCTCCCCACTGCACCAGTGACCACCCAACGTCTCCATGCCATGGGGAGGGTCACCCACCACAGAACCACATCCCCATCTTGCTGGCGTGGCCAGAGCTCCCTTTTGGTTATGTTTTGGTGACAATGGATCCCTGTCTGTTTAAAAGCTGGGGTCCTCCTCTCCCTGCTGGCTTTGGTGGGAGCTCTCTTTGGCTTTGGCTGGCAAGGGGAAGCTTTGGGATTGCTCTTTCGGGCCTGATTAGCATTCGGCCCCGCTGCTCCTGCTGTTTCGAGCTGGAGCTCGCCATTGCCTGGCAACCACAGAGCAAAACTCCAGCAGCCGCCCCGGAGCCCCGGCGGCTCCTGCGAGAGGCACCGACACGCGGGGACAGGGACAGCGGCAGGGCCACCCTGCACTGCTGCCCCCTGCCCTCCACCCCACACGGTGCACAGACAAGGATCATCCCCAGGACGAGGAGGAGGAGAGGGCTGTGGCGGTGCAAGAGCTCTGGTGACAGCCAGGTCTGGTGGGTCTGTGTCTGTCTGTCCTGGTGCCGCCTGCCATGGGCATCCCCCTGCGTTGGGCACAGCCTGCCCTGCACACCCTCGGTACAGCAGGTACCATGCTGTGTTCAGGGAGCTCCTGTCATGCACTGGGACCTTGGGGCAGGGCCAGGCCCTGCTGTGGGTGCCTCTGGGACAGGGTGTGTTGGGGGACACACTGGGATGTGTGTGGGGTACATGGCCCCATCCTCACAGCATGAGGAGCTGCACACATGCTCTGTGTGTGTGCCATGCACATACCTGGCCACGCTCCCCAGCTGGGGTCTGTGCCGTGCCCAGGACCCCCAGGGGCCCCATGGGGGGGCTTGGCCTCACTGAGGTCTCACAGGGAACCGTGGCACAGCTCATCTGTGGTGCTCTCAGACTTCTACTCCATCATGCTGGGGGTGGAGTTGGAGGGACAGGAACCTGAGTGAGCATCGGGGCTGTCTCGGCTTCCTATTTTGCGTGTGCTTGAGGCCTGTTGTAGTTTTCCTGGCAGAAGAAGTTTGTTGTCCTGCTCCTGGCAGAAACTGCGGGCCTGGGGTTCAGCCCCTGACCTGCCAGAGGGTCTTTGCAATGGTGGTGGCTCAGCCCCTCCACCAAACCCTGCACTTCATCCTCTTTCCAGCCTGGGTGGACTTGACAGGACTTGAGTCCCCTCTTGACACAAGGTGCCACTTTTCTGCAGGAGACAGAGACATGCCTGAGTACATTGAGTTCAGATCTAATTCATCCTCTCACCTCTAGTTTAACTCTCTATTTTTACATCTTTGATGCTGTGGGTACTGCCTGTGGCTGCAGGGCCAAGCTGTCCTGTCCAGCCAGTACACTGAGACCCATTGGGCAGGAAGATAACAGACATGTGCCTTTCAGTGCTCCCCCATACATCCTCATCAGTGACGCTCACTTGGCAAAGGGTAAAAAAATAAATACATCTGTCTTTTTGTCTTGCAGAGCCTGGGGTCGGCTGACAAGAAGGACTTTTACCAGCCAAAGTAAGTGCCAGTAGCAGTGGTGAGTAATTGCATGGAAATTCCCGGCTGGTCCATATTACCCAGCAGCTCCATGGCTTGCTAAGATTAGACATTTCAGTGTACAAGAATAGCTGCTGCAATTACACAAGTGAGGATAACAGTGGAAGGGCTGTCAGTCATGCTGGCTTCAGGGCATATGCAAATCCTTCCATTAGGTCAGAAGGAACCATGACAGCTTGACTGAGCCTGGGGGACAGAGCCAGGAGAGGGGGGTGCATTGGTGACCTTTCCCACCTCAGGCTCCCTCTGCTCCTGGTTTGCACAGCTGAGCTGCCTTGGAGAATGGAAGGGTCTTGCTGTGTGTCACAGATCTCACAGTGCATCTCCCACAGCTGCTGGTGCCTTTGTCTTCACCTGCTGTGCTTGGTGCAGCTCTGTGAGCTGCAGGGGGAGAGGAGGGCAAAGGGGGCTTTAGAGCTATGGACACAAGAAAGTTACTGCAAACCACTCTGCCAACACAAGCAGTTGGCTGCTTGGTGTGTGGATTAGGTAACAGAACCTCACCACAGCATGGCACCTTCCAGGCTTGTGCTTGCTGGATGGACAGGTTTGTTCCCATCATCCTTTGGATAATGGCAAGCTCTGTTAAAAGCCCTGCTGAGAGGTTGGGTTCTGCCCTGGCACTGCATTATGTGTTGTGCTGCTGAGCACGTCACCTGTGGGACCTTGTGTTGCTCCTGCTTTGCTTGGGGCAGTGAAGGTCTTCAGGTTATCACCTATCTTCTGAAAGAAAAACAAACCAAAAAACATAGGTGGAATTGAAGCTGTGGGACAGTGCTCTGATGGGCAGGATTGTCAGGGGAGCATGGCTTTGGACGATTCAGAAGGAACTGGGTTGAGGATTTCTCCTCCAAAGCTCACTGTCCTGCTCTTGCTCACTCTTTGCTGCTTTCCCAAGCATCCCCGCAGTGCAAGCAGTGTGGCAGCATCCTCGGTGTGAGCCAGGCTTGGCCTCAGAGGGAGCAGGTCCAGGGGTGACAGACTGTGTCAGGGAATGTTGTACAGAGCTGCCTGCTCTCTGTCTGTCCTGGGAGAGCAAGTGTGGGGTGTGTGCATGCTCTTCAGCTGTCTGCTGATTCCTCTTTATGCCACCAAGAGTTTTTAAAACTCGGTGCTGGTTTCTAGGTCTGTACTGAGAGTCTGATTTGAGGGAGCTTCTCTGCCTGTTCACCCCAAGGCAGTGCAGCTCATCAGCTTTCCAAGACCTCAGGCAGATAAAGACTTTTGGAAAGACAGAATATCTGTTTAATCCTGCATGGCTTTCTGGGAGATCAGAGGAATATCACAGGAGATTATGGAGTCATTGTGGATGCCACAACAACATGAACACACATTTGGCAAAGAGCTCATGGTTGTGTTTGTGTGACCTCTCCCAACAGCTGTCCAAGATTTTGGTGCTCCTGAGTGTAGTACTGTGTCTGTGAGGAGTCTAACAAGCAGGTTTAGAACAGATTGAAGCATCTCCCATGTCTCAGTTCCAGCTGAAGCTCTGGGGAGGCTTGAAGTAGGAGATTTGGAGGAAATCTTTAAAGAGCTCTTACTGTTCAGATTTCCTATCATTTTCTGTGGTTTTGGTGGTTGGTAGCAACAATTTGTGGTGCTGCATTTATAACTAAGCTCCTCTGAGAAATGAGGAATGTTTCTCTACCTTGAATGGGAGAACATGGGCTTCCCATCTTACTGAAGGTGTGGAGCTGCTGGGTCAGAGTGGGGTTGCTGGTGCTCTTGTAGATCCAGGATGTTTTATGGGAGTTTGTTTCTCTGTGCCATGAGGCCATGGGACCTCCATGGTCTGGCCCATCAGCTGTGATGCCCCTGGTCATAACTCTGTGACTTTGGTTAATGCCCAGCCCATTTACACTCCTCAGTGGCTGTTTTGGGGTTGTGATGGGTAGGTTTGTGGCCGTGCTGTGGCCTTGTACCACTGCCCCCATCCCATCTGGCTTTTTGATCCCGCAGCTGATCCCACACTGTGCCTGCTGGAACCCATCTACAAGGCTGGACCAGGTGCTCTCTGTGGAGCCCTTCAGTTTCTGGCAGGGCTGGAGCTCATCTCCCTCAGCAGAGAAGGGTTGCTAGAAAATGCCAGAGCTTGGGTGGCCCTGCTGAGGACTTGAGACAGCTCAGCTCCTGTGCAGCAGCAACACAGCCCAGATTACAGCTCCCCGAGCCCCGGGCGAGGTGGTGGCGAGCAGCCAGAGCATGGTAGGAGCTGAGCCCAGCTGTGGTAGTTCCTGGACACATCTCTGCAATGAGGGTGGTGAGCTGAGAGAAGTCTGGCAGTGTGCAGCTGGTCCTGCAGCTCCCATGTGGCAGAGCAAACTTGACTGGGCCTCTGCTTTTCCTTTTCCAGCTTCTGAGGCATTGGCTCACCTGCCAGCAAAGCCCTGTGGGAGCAGGGTCAGAGCCATCCTGCTCATGTGTCAGGCTTTGGGGGCCTCCCACAGCAGGTGTTGGTCCTGAAAGCAGAAAAAGGAGACACACATGCAGAAATCTCAGCAGTGAGTTTTGTCACTGCTTGTCCTGGGAGTGACTCCTGCTCTGTTCCTGCCATGTTCAGCTCTCTCTAATCAGGTGGCCTCTTCCTCAATGGACATCAGATATTCCATCTGCTGAATTTCCTTGTGTCTCCTGGATTGACTCCTTTCCTTCCTTTGTTGCCTCTCCCCTTCAGAAATGGAAATGTGTCCTCACAGTTCCCATCAGTCTGTCTCAGGCAGCAGGTAGGTGTTTCCTGAGCTCCTGGAACATCCCTGTGCTGATCAAGGCCATGGAGATGTGTCCACCCTCGCCCATAAGCCTCTAATGTCCCTTCCCCTCCTCCCAGTCCATCCATGAGGTTCAGATCTCCCCAAGATGCAGTGAAAGCACACAGGGAGGTGCAGTGCAGATGGACCTCAGCTGTAGGAAGTCAGAGGTGCCCAGAATGGAGCTGCTGCCTGCTCTGGGGGACGCCCTTCTGCTTGCAAGGGCTTCAGTGGTGGTGCTATGGATATTCCTGTAAGAGCTGGCCCATGGCAGGAGCTGGGTCTCCTGGTCTTTAGTCTGGGAGGTAATGTTCCCTCTTCCATGGGAAATGGAGGGATGCAGCCTGAGTCAAGAATGATGAAGCTTTAATCTTAAGAAAAGTTACATCAACTGAGAACTGAAAGAGGTAGAGACCAGCCAAGGAAGGACCATCAGTGGCACATAAAGAGCTCCTGTAGCTGAAATACCTGAGAGAGGAACCTTGCATGTTGGCAATGGCCACAAGTGCAGCTCTTAGTCAACATGTGCACAGGTATCCTCAGCTGCACTGACTGCTCCAGCCATCCCACATGAACAGGTACAGGTGCCTTCCTGTGTTTCCAAAACAGTGTGTTCAGATATCAGAATGGTTTATCCTGACCTAACAACTCTCATCTGATGCAGTTTGGGCCCATGGCAGGGCCTGGATGCAACTCTGCTCTGTCTGGGATCTGACCAGAGTTTGTAGGGATTGGGGAAGAAACATGGGGTGGTATCAGTCCAGCCCCTGGGCTGCTCACTCCTTTGCCACCTCACTTTTTGGAAGATGGTGATACAGCTGTAATGCTGTCAGAATATCCAGGCTTCCAGAGGTCCTTCCAGATTTCTAACACAGAGCGCTGACTTCTCTGTCAAGGCAGCAAGGAGCCACTGGCTGAGGACTGAGGGGCAAGGACACCATGCTCAGAGACAGGAATAGAGGTAATAACTCTCCTGGCAGGGCTGGGTGGAAGTCTCTTGACAGGAACTGAAGTTGTCCGGTGTGTTTGCTAATTGCCCCTGGCACATATTTGCTCTTCAGTGTCAGGAACTCATTTTCTTTAAAGCAGAAAGAAATGTTGGTAGTAATGACACTCATAAACCCCCTAGCAAATGCAGACTGAAATACCTGGGCTTAATAGTGTGTCACTGCTTTGCAGTGGGAGCTGCCCTCATTCCCCCCGTGCTGCTCAGCTGTCAGGGAGCAGGGACTGTCTGCCAGGCACTCTGAGGCGTCAGGAGAGACACAGCTGGAATGACAAAATGCTCTCCATTGATCCTCTCCTCCTGTCCCCTGGCATGGTGGCCGTGCAGAAGAGACCGGCTGTATCAGAGCATGCCCTGCAGCAGCAGGATCCCACAGCAGGATCCCACAGCAGGATCCCACAGGATCCCACAGCCCTTTCAGGCAGGCACCTCGTGGCTCTGGCTCCAGCTGGGATTAAAGGCTGCCCCCACCCTCTGTCCTCCAGGTTCAGATGTGCAAACACGGGAGGAGCCTTTGAAAGCACCTCCCAGAAAGCAGCAGCTCCTGTTTGTTTTGTCTCAAAGTCATTACACAGAGCTGTCTCCACAGCTAATTCTTTGTCACCTGGCCCTTACAGCAGAACATTTCATCTCCCAGACTCCAATCTTGCCATGCCAGCACTTAGATGAAAGTGTTTCCTTGCTGAATCATTATCTCATAAAATGTTGGTGGTTTAAAGGCTTTAGAAATCAGTATTTACATTTTGGAAGCATTAAGGACCATCATAATAAGTGTGATGTGTTCCCAAGTCAGGTTCTCATTTCAGTGCCTCCTTCCCTCAGACATTATTGCTGTAGGAATGATGATAATCACACACATATAGGTAGTGTTTGACTTCTTCTGTGGTGACTGAGAGTTGTTCAGCTGGGAGCTCAGGTTCCAAGTGCTGAGCAGAGGGAGGAGGACACTGATGGGAAGTGGGGAGAAAGAGATAGTGCCAGTGACACCAGGGAGCTGTGGGGCAGGAGAAGCAATGCCAAGACCACCTCTCCATAAAGGATACTCATGGGCATACTCAGTGATGTAAGAAACTGTCCCAAAACCACCTGCACAGTTTGGAGAATGCTCCCAGCTTTGGTTGTAGGAAAGGATGAAACACCATCACCAACATCTCTGGTAGCAGTGGAATGGCAGAGCTGTGGAGGGTGAAAGAGAAATGCTGGGGTCT